TTATTTTTTATTTTTATTTTTTATTTTTTTATTTTTTTATTTTTTATTTTTTATTTTTTATTTTTTATTTTTTATTTTTATTTTTTATTTTTTTATTTTTTATTTTTATTTTTTATTTTTTATTTTTTTTTATTTTTTATTTTTTATTTTTTTATTTTTTATTTTTTATTTTTTATTTTTTATTTTTTATTTTTTAAAATAAAAGCTTTGTAATAATCTACCAAATTTGGTTTTACTCATTCAAGAATGTTAAACAAATGTTGTAATACTTTAAACAAATTAACAATTAATTGCAAACAGTAATTACAGGAATAAAATTCAATAAGAGTTTTCTTAAAGTTATGTCAAAACTGTTTAGACGATTATCGGTATCATTGCCTACTAGATTCATGTCGCTGTTATTAACGTTTGACATTCGCTTAAATGTATATTCAATGTAGCGCGTTAGAGCGTCGCGCTTATAACCCGAAGGTCCACGGTTCAAACCCGGGCCTCGGCGGTAAGTATACCTTGGTTTTTTTCAATTTATATTTCTCTGCGTGCGAGAAGATCATCTTTTCGCACGCTTGTAGAAAAAAAATATTTAAAGACTTCATTGATTTATAGCAAATTTTGAAAACACCCCTTTATCTCGGTAAATCAGCTCTTTAAGGGTTCATGTTCCTATATGAAAATTTATGAAGTAAAGAGAGCTCTCTATGGTAGAGCGTTGTCGGTCGAATATACAAACAATAAACTTGAAATATCAAAATGTGTCCAATAAGAGTTAAATTGAGAATGGAACGACTCGCATGGATTCGTTGTTCTACACATGCATGTTTCTCATCTAGTACATTAAAAGGACATTAAGGATTGGGGGGTAGTGAATCTCTTGATTTTATATTTTAGACCCAACTGAATGATAGGATGAGGAACTACCTGATTTTTTGGCCTAACTGACATAATACGTTATTTTTTCGATTTTTCAAAATCGATGATAAGATACTGTTTAAACAGCACCTTTGAGATAAAACAAAATGTAGTTTTTTTTAAATTATTGGATTTGAAAATAATAAATTTATCAATTAAGACGACTTTTATCCTTAATTTGGTGGAAAAATAGATTTATAATTATCATATATACGAAAAATCAGGCGAGTTCACTTTCAATTTAACAAACGGTTTTTATACACATGGATACCTCGTCCTTATAGTATTATCAGGTGACACGGATTGAGCTAAAAAAAACCGCCTAATGTACTCTGCTCTTCCTACAACATTTGTCACTTTACACTTATCTATTTAATTGTATAAAATTTGTTGAAGCACGACGTGAACTTGTTTTTCAAACAATCATTATTATATATAAGTGGTTGTTACCCATCAAATCTCTAGTTGTACCTATCCTACAACGCGCTCATAATGTATAATAAGTTTGTGATTTTTTTCTAGTGTTTTGGCTGCCCTGGTTGTGGCGGTTAGTGCATATAATTTCGATGATCCTGATTACAGTAAGGATAAGTATTTATATTGCATGAAATTTTTTTTATTTTATGTGAAAAGTGAGGGTGTTAATAATCATCTAGATCTAGGCCTTTAAAATTAAGAGAAAAAGGCGACTTTCATTCCAAGTAATTCATTTAATTTTGGTAATAATAAAAATACAAAATATTTTAAAAATTTAAGGTCGTTTTTAAAAATATGAAAGTATTTTTAAATGTTTTTCTGTAAAAATTTTAAGTTAAAGTCCGCGCAAAAGTTTATTGTAACTTTTCATTTAAGAGGAGAATTTACATTACAAACTGAAAAACCTTCAGAGCAACGGTAGTCGAAAGACATTTTATCATTCAAATAGATAATAAATGCTAAATAAATAGATACTAAATAACACCAAAATCAAACTAAATTTATTTGTTTGGGACATACTGTAAGACAATATTTCAGGAATAGGATTATTTTTGTACTCGATGAACGAAAATATGAATAACAAATAGTGTTGCGGCTTGGGAAAACTTTCGGAGATTTACCTGTTAAATAATGTATGTACTTTGCCTCGGTTACAATTCATTCTTCCTTGCGCAGGTGCCTTTTCAGTTTTACGCCTTAAAGTATTCATAACTTCATTTATTCATGACAAAAATGCCCTTCATGTACTTCTAGGGCTACGGTTTTCTTTTTAAGAGACTCGGATATTTTAAATATTCAAATTAAATATACGTTCTCTCGGGGCTGTTTAAAATACCTGATTTATACTAAATGTTTGATAAGGAATTGAGCTAATTACGTCAATTTTATTCATTAAAGCAAATATTTGAAAATGATATTGTTGGAATTTGGGGTTACTAAATGATTTTATTATAGCTGCACGATTTGGAAAATGTGATGTCAAAAATGGTTGTTTTTTTTTGTAAATACACGAAAATCTCAACAAAGAAAACTTGTATTATGTGTAAAAAATTACTTACTACTTAAAAAAACAGAAAAAAATTTAAACTATCTTGCCTTTAATTCTATTTTCTAGAAGAATGTTGAATCTATTTGACTAGAAAGTAGTCTTAAAAAATATATGCACCTCGGCGCATGGTCTTTTTTGACTTAACCAGAAGTTGCTTGACTTCAGCAGTAAAATTCTGATTCCGCCAAACAAGATCAACTTTACGGCCTTGGTACACAACTAACTATTATTGGATCATAATCATTTAGAGTGACAGCATGCAATTCCTGAGGCTTATAAAAGTACTTTCCAGTGATGATACTATTTGTGAGATACAGTTTTGGAAATAGAATATTTTGAGGTATTATGAGATGATATTAATTGATTGTACAGTTAGCAAATTTAAAAGGGGAAGATTAAAATTAAAGGTTAAGAAAATCTGCGTGGATTAACTGCCCACTCTAAAAATCAGATTGCAAGAGTTGCCTTAAGCAAAGTTTATAGCTAAAGAATCAGTTAGTTCACTCGGTCCTTTTTGATGTTCCAAAATAACAACTATTCCAGGGATACAAATCCAGGATGCGCAGAAGACTGCTATTTGAATACAATCAGTTGTCATATATTGTATTGTATGCACAACCAAGTTCTGATGCAGCTCGGCGCAATTCTTTTCCTTAACTGTGGTTAATCTTGAACCCCCGTTGGTGTTTTTGGAGGTGTAATCTCCACCGATTAATAAATTTGTTACCTAGTTTTTTGAGTACATTCAGATAATTTTTCTTTTTTCTGGTTGTATCTTGGTGGGCAATAGAATGCAGCTATTGTAATTTTGCCCCCCCTTAATGTTAATGGTGCTAATAGTTACCTGATGTTCTGGTTCTTGGATGCCTGGTTCCTCATAGTGGGAAATGTTATTTTTAATAATTAACGCACTTCCTCCTCTTGCTGCATTTGATAAATGGATAGTGTAATAGAAGTTATATCCTCTGAATTTAATGTATGACTTTGTTGTAAGGTGGGTCTTAGAAATCAGACATATATTTATTTTTTGTACGTCCAAGAAAACTTGGATATCAGTTTTGTTTTTGGAGAATACCATTGGCATTCCCAATGGCTATTCTCTTTTGTCCATTAGTGGTTTTGTTATATGTTTGGGTTTGTTTAATTCTTTTAGCTTCTGGAGCCTGTCAGAGAGTGAATCTATTCTGGTTATTAAGGATAATAATAATTTATGAGTAGTACTTTCTGCTAAGTTGGTTGACTGTGCAGTATGTTGTGCAATTTGTGGCGTGGGATTCATGGCTGGTTGTGACCTTTGAATTAGTTGCTGCTATGATTTTGTTACCTGAGAATATGTTATTTCATTTCTGACAGTAGGAAAAGCGAAATTTGTATATAAAGTGCGTATAAAGCATTTTATACACCGTATAGAAACTTATTTTGCAAAGTGCTCCTATAGAATGTGACGTTATATCTCCACTTTTACTGCACTCCTTTTTTATTCAGACTTTAGGTATATTCAAAAGCAATGACATGTCAATAAGCAATTAAAAAGAAAAAGTAAATTTGATAATACTGTAATTTTTAAATTCATAATGTCTGCATAAAAAATAAAACCTATAATAATTATTTTTAGATCAAATACTAGCAGATCAGCTCGAAGACCTGTATACTTCCTCAGTATCCAATGTAAGAACACGTAGAGATGCTTCTGACGCTGATGATAAATGCCGTAAAAGGAAACACCAAATGTGTTGCGGAGAAGAAGTTATGGAGAAACTGCGAACCGAAAATAAAGATGTGAAAGAAGCGTGTTTTAAAGAAATTACCGGCAAAGATAAACCCGAAAAATCTCAGCATCATAGAAGACCGTTCGATCCATTCGATTGCGAAAAAATGGAACAGAAAAGAAATGAAATGATGGTAAGAAATTTCGTTATTGTTTTCCTGCGTCAAACTCTACGGTTATTATTAAACCAATTAATGATTTCCAATATAAAAACAATTTTATCTGGCGGAAAAGTATTTTTTTAATAAAATCGAAACAGAACGACAAAAAGAGATTCAATTTCTTAGATATTGTTTTTTAATGACTCTTAATTACGAGTATTGCATTTGCGGGCATTTTTTTTTTTTTAGTAATTCTGAATGGTTGGTAGAGAATTAAAGGATCGAACATTTTTCATTAACTTTTTTTTTTCTTTAAAACCAAGGGTGAATAAAAGGGATAGTAGGTACTAATAAATAAAATTATCAGCAAGAGAAGTACTCAAAGTTAAGAGTCATTTAAAACATTTTATAACAGGGTACCTTTTTATTACAGTTTTTTTTCCATATAAAGTCTTCTGCCGACACAAAAAGAATGCCCGGCTATTCAAATAATAGACTTAACAATACCCACGTTTAGGCTATATCTCGAATTTTGTTGAAAAAAGTAAATATTTAGTCACGTGGCTGGATATCTACACCGGAAGTAGCATAACTGCACAAAAAAAATTATAACACAAGCATTTTTATTATAACCAACATCTGAAAGCAAATATAAATCCATTGATAAACAACTTTGAATTTTACAGGTCATATAAACACTCCCACCACTGGGACATAGTACATGTGGTTCACCCCCATTTCCTGTACCCAACTACAAAGTGCCGCAAAAAAAGACATGTCAATTTTTTTTTAAACAGCTAACGAATCCAAATAAACTTTGTTATCACAACTTTTGTTAATGTTATTAGGCCGTATTTATAAAAAAGGATTTTTCCTTTAAAGTTAAAATTAAAAGAAAGAGCTCACAAAAAGAAGGTAGAAGAAAAAGGTTTTGCTTTACTTTATATTCATAATCTTTCTCCTTTCTATGGTAGCAAATCTTTGCAAAAAACGTAAAAGGTAGACATGTGCGAGTTAGGTATATAAGTGGCCACCGAACAAGTTGCAACTTACAGTCACAGAATCATTGTGCGTTATTTTTAACAATATATCTGAAGAAGCCACGGTGAACAAGGACAGATAATGTCCAACTACCTTTAAATCTAGTGCGTTATTAATATAATAATATACATATACGCACTCTGAATTTTGATTTTATATTTGGTTGAGCGTCTCTGTTATTTGGGATTGAAGAAGATGGCAAGTGACGAGGAAATGTCAGATGACCCATTAGAGTCACAAAACACCAGCGATAATAGGACCCGTTGCCAATGCTCACCATACCATTTAGGGAAACACAGACATCAATACAAGAAGCGAGTCCTTATTACAATTGATCTTATCTGAAGATTTAGTAATTATTTAAGTAAGTAACAAATCAACTTTCGTCACAGCGTTCTAGATATGACTCTTTGCTTAAGTAAAGCAAGTGTCGGATGAACCATCGTGCTCAGACTATACAGGCAGATTAGAGTTTATCTAATTACACTACCTTGAATTTTAACCAAGTATATAAACCCTTGAGAGATGAACTGGAAAAGAATTTAAACATTACTTGCAGAGTATCTTAAAGAGGGTATGGTGGAAACAACATATTAACAAAATCTTGAACGACCAGTAGACCAAGTAAGTAAGGCTATTCTATCCGCCTACAAGGAAACATGTCCGGAAAAAAGAAGACAAAAGAGAACAAAAACAGTCTGATGAAACAAACATTTGGAACACCTCATAGGTTAAGTGTGTAGGTTAATCTATATAGCCCTATATAGGGCTACACTCACGCAGTACAACATGGAGATAAAAAAGGCTAAAAGACAATCGTGGGAAAAGTTCTGCGAGGAGTTATCTGCAACGCCTACATACTCCAGTATCTAAAAAGTACTAGCTAAAGAGGTTACCGGTAGTATTTCTTAGTAAATATGAGCAAGCCTATATAAAAACATTCGTGGAAATGTTAACAATGCGCACATTTTCCGGTTGCAGAAATTTTGTTAGACCCGATAATAGCATACAGCCCTCAAAGAAGGTCTAGTATGCCAATTCTTTTGCAATGGAGGCTAGTTACAGAAATATCGAGGCCCAACAAAATAAGATGGGCTACAAACAAATTATAGCCTTACAAAAGTAGACAGGCAGACTGACAGACAAGTTCAAAGGTCAACTCAGCTAAGGTCAGACAGCCGGACTACGACGGATCTCAAACTGAGGAATCAAAGGTTGATCAGTAATACAGATTACATAGTTACCAATAATAAGACTTGACTTCCACCTTTTCATTATATGATGCAAGGGGAGGCAATATTAGGTGATTACAGATTAGGGAATTCACTAGGAAATCTTGACATTAGGCCAGGTCACATGAGTATCTCAAGGTTAGTGACAGTAGACGTGCTAGACATGAGATCAAACCACATAACCAAGAGGTACTCTTTTAATACTCGATTTGAGGTTTTAATACAGGAAGGAGTGGAGATCACCATAACGAAGCCCAATGCTCAACGACAGGAACAAACCTGGTGTACAGACGGGTCTAAGACTGCGGAAGGCACTGGGGCGGGAGTATTCTCCAAAAACACTGATACTATGCTATAGGAATACATTCCTCGGTATTTCAGGCCGAGGTATACGCAATTTTGCAATGTGCAAAAACGAACAATGAAAGAGCTGTCAAAAATCAACATATTCAAATAATGTCAGACAGCCAAGCGGCACTTAAGGTCATATCGAGTCAGAAAGTTACGTCGAGACTGATATGGGAATGAATCGAAGAACTAAGAACACTGGCAGACCGAAATAGAGTAAAACTATTTTGGGTGTTAGGTCACCAAGGGATCGAAGACAACGAAAAGGCTGACGAATTTGCAAGAAGAGGGTCAGAAGAAACACCGGAACCAGACACAAACCCAGGAGTACCAAAAAGTACAGTCTGGGGTTTCATAAACGACCGGATTCGAGAACAACATATTAACTATTAGGGAAGCACCACAAAACAGGCACTTGGAAAGCCTTTATAGGCAGAACATGTCCCAAAGAACTGGAGAACTACTCTTTATTAAAAGGAAGGTCTTAAATAAATAAAACAATCATGGAGAAATGTGGTAGACGCATACTACCATCGATTAGGGTACAGTCAACCCACAAATAGAGCACATTTTGAACACTTGATAAAGTAACCATTATGTTAAAAATGTTATAATCTTTCAATTGTTACGTTTTAATGTAGTTATAAATAGTTTTTATTTAAAAATTTATTGAGACAATTAGGCGTTGCCAGACCTATTTTATTTATTTAAGGCCTTCCAGACTACATAAAATCATAAGTGTTACATATGGTTGAACTCGTATTAAATAGGAGAATCCAATAATGACTGAATGTACAGGGTGATGAATTTAAAAAACCAAAGTGACTAATAATATAAGAGAAACGGCAAATCTGGCAACATTGCAAATATCAAATCTTGAATCACCGTATCCCAAAATAGGTGTACCCCAAATTTTGTACAATTAGGACTAGCAATTTACGAAATAATTATCCGTTTCCAGACTTTTGGGCCACTCTGTATAACTCCTTTAATTTCTTCTAATACATTAAATAGGTCAGGTAGGATCAGGATTTTTGACATCAATTAAGATATTGTAATATTTAAGTTTTGTAAGTTACCAAAAATTATGCTGTATAAATGGATAAGTGTTGAGATATAGATATATAATGATGGTGCCGATTTGAATATAGAACTTACTCCTTGCTCTAACTTTGATGCATCAATGAAGATTGATTGTCTTTCAAAAATATATCGTTTCTGTTACCAGGCTTATCTTTCACTGGTATTTTATTATTTTTATTTTGAGAAATACTTTTGTTATTCTTGTATTATAGCCATTATCTACGTTTGCTTTCATTTTTATACTCTTTTAACGTTCTCAATCTTCCTACCAAAATAAAAATTATTAACTTCTTGATAATTATCTTACGAATAATCATTTGTACGTCTAATAATTTAACTTATTTTTGTTTACAGTGTGTTCATCAATGTTTTGGCCAAAAACTTAAATATGTAAGTATATACTCTAACAAAATAACAAACAGAATAGGTATTAATGGGTTTATTATGCTTTTATGACTATTAAATAATTTTACATATACCTATTAATTTTAAAAGTTATTATCATACAATAATAACGCTTGTATATTTTTGGGTCATTTCCACTTTTAAACAATATATAAAATGGAGATGAAATTGAATAAGTTCAAAATATAAATAATTATGTAGGCAGGATGTAAAGCGAGATTCATTATATTGCAACTATATCCATATAAAATAATGGTAATTAGATATAATTTTTGCAAAAATTGTTGCAACATTATTTTATTATTTACAACTTATTTTGTTGAAAATGTAATGCTTGGTCTGGAAATAGTGAGGTCAAAAGAAATTTCATTAAAATAAATACTATCATTAAATTGATTTTACACACATCAGGATTAAACAAATATACAGGGTATACCATTAGTGCGTAATTGTTCAATATTTTAATTTGTGTTATAGAAATGCAAATAGGTTTTAAATAAAAGTTATATGAATTTGCAAAATACTTATTTTAAAAATATTTTTGGATATACAGGGTGTTGCGTTTTTGCTTGGCAAATTTTTTAAATTGAACACCCTATATTTTATTTCAATTTTAGAATGGCTTGATAATACTGTATTCAACCCTAAAATTTCTTTTTCAAAATGTTACAAAATTGCCAAGCAATTAATTTTTTTATGAAATTAGAAGACGATGCAGTCCCCAAAATAGATTATCATAATTTTGGTAGGTTTACATTGATTTAAAAATTGTTTAGTATACAGACTTATAAGATACTAAGCTAACGAATAGAGGTAATAAAACTAGTTTATATTATACAGACTGTCTGTCCTACATCAAAACATAATTTGTACAGTTAAAGGGTTTCAGACAATTTGGTTGAATATATTAATTTTTTTATGGCATAAATTAATACAAATTCATTCCTTTTCATTTCTATCTTTGTTTTAGTATGTTTTTTTAACGTGGTTCTGTTAGCTAAACATTAAGCTAGAAGAGAAGCTAGACGTGCCATGTGTTTTTTGTGAAAACTGCACATAGTTCAAAAGATTTATTGATGGTACAAATTAGTACAAATTCTGCCTTTATTTTATTTTTTATTATTTGAAAACGGCACGTGCTACAAACTTTTTTTGATGATACAAATTAGTACAAAATAAAATGTAAATAATGTTATAGATCTGAATCGATTCTGTTTAGTTGGTGCTGCCAGCTTAAGAGAGTTCAGAAATCTCACACATCAAAACTTCTTTGATTAAAAATAAATTTAATGTTCATGTTGCTGTTACTTATTGACTATGTGAAAATGAGTCTTGAAGAAGTATTTGGGTTTATATGTCACTGGTATAGCTTTTAGTTTAAGAGTATTTAAAGGCAATCATCTGTAGCATTAGAATTTTTAAATTCACTAATTCTTAAAAAAATAATCCATAGGTATGTAGATATAGGAGACAGTATTATTAAAAATCAAATAAAAAACTCACCTATTTATCTTCCTTGCAGCCATAGAAAACATTTTCATATATCTGAAAAATAAATAGAATATAGTTAACTTTTTTAATTAATATAATTTATATATTATTAATGTCAAAATTATTTCTCATCAAATTGATATTAAGATATTCTCGAAATTTAGATTCAACTTAAATAGGTCTTGATATATTACCCTTAAATAATTAATTTAGAAATGATTTGAGAAAACAACCTCATTTATTTGAATTATTATACTAATCACAGTAACTAGTTACAATTAAGATATCTTCAAACCATACTTCTTTCTGTTTCTCTGACTTAATTTTGCTATAGTAAATTAACAATATTTTGTATTGATTTATTACTATTAAGTTATGTATTATCTTTCTACCAATTTTACTAAATGTTCCCCATATCAGGAATACTAAAGTTACGTGATTATACTAACAAAATAAAAATGTATGTTATCAATAATTATAAGTATGTCCTTGAATACCATGTGGCATTAAAAAATTAAGGTCCAGGACTGTGAAGTATAGCAATCGAAGCCGTTAAAGGATTAAAATACAAAAGAAAGCTATGCAAATACAATTTAAAATAATAAAACTCAAGTATTGTCGTCATAATTAGTTACCATACAGCTTTTTCTAACCAGCAATTTAAACTTCATTCCGTATCGCAAAAATCGAATTGATGGAGGAGTTAATTTTTATATTCGCGACTGTATACAGCACCAGCATATTCTTCATTTTGATACTATCGAAGGCATTAAGCACATATGGGTTATTTACCGAATAAACGCATGTGGTATTCCAAGTTTTGTTGAATTTTTTGATAATATATTATCATTTTATTTTACCTTAATTTGACCATATATTAATTACAAAGGATATAAATGTTGACTATGTTATGTTATATTGGGAATGGGACGTTCCCCCTCCTGTCGCCAATGCACCAAGGAAATGTCTCAATGCCTATAACGACCCTTCCAATCCTATCCTCTCAAGGAAGTGCAGGATGTGAAGTGGCTTTAAGTTAGGCAAATCTCCCTCTTCTATTTGATATCCTCCTAGATACAGGGTGGCTCACGCTCAACGGGACGGAGCTTTATGGGAAAACGACCAAAGATATAAAAAATTCGTTTGGGAGGAATACGTAGGTTACAGACGGCTACAATTTAAAATTTGTTAGATGTATACAGGATGTCCCACATAAGAGAAAATATTCAAAGTTATATTATTTTTAATGGAACACCCTGTTTTTTATTTTAGAATTAAAAACTACATCAAAAATAATGTCAGTTAACTAAAGGTTCCCTATTACTATTATTATTAGTTTTCGATTTATTTGAATTTTTAAGGAAAAAAAGTCTCCCAGAAATTAATTGTTTACTCTTGTTTGAATAATTTTTAATGAACTAATTTTTTTTTCTTATGTGGGACATCCTGTATACATCTAACAAATTTTAAATTGTAGCCGTCTGTAACCTACGTATTCCTCCCAAACGAATTTTTTATATCTTTGGTCGTTTCCCCATAAAGCTCCGTCCCGTTGAGCGTGAGCCACCCTGTATAGTGCCCTTGGATTCTGGAGCGCTACACACTCAATTAGAATGTGAATAGAGGTTTCGTCCTCCTCCTTACAGAATCTGCACTCACTATCCTCTACTACTCTCAGTTTACTTAGGTGTCCTTTTAGTCGGCAATGTCCGGTAAGGATTCCTGTTACAATACGTAGCCTGTTCTTGTTTAGGCAGATACAGGCTTCCTATCTTTTCTGGTTATATTCACATAGAAGTATCTTGGCCTGTCTCAGCCCCAAGAGATTGTTCCAATTATCGGTTCTTCTACTGCCCAATTCTTTTTTTAATCTCTTCTCATATTATGTTACTGCTGATACCGCAGAACGGGTCAGGTCCAACAAAGAGTGTTTGAACCCCTTTCATTGCAAGACTATCTGTAATCTCGTTACCGTGTACCCCGTTATGTCCCGGGATCCAAGTGAGAGTAACTCTATTTTTCTCGCCTAGCTCATTCAATTGTTCTAGGCATCTCCATACCATTTTTGAGTTGATTACGTAAGAGTTCAGCGCTTTGATGGCTACTTGACTATTGGACATGATGATAATCTCTTGTCTATGATAGTTTCTCTCGATGTTAAACTGGATACACCTGCTAACCTTAGTTGTGTCCCTTATTAGAAAGGATGTGCTTCCAGAAAAGTGACTTTCAAGTAAATGGCGAGCTCTTTCCTCCTCACTCTTCGTGAAGCTTCCATTTGGTTTCTTTAATGCCATAACTGTATCAACTCTCCCTTTTGCCAAGGCCCTGTGCAGTCTCGCCGCCGCAAGTGTAGAGTTAATATCATCGCAGAATTTTCTAAAGCTGTTACGTTTAGCTTTCCTGATTTCTTTTTTGTAGGTAGTAAGCGCCTCGATGTAGCTCTGCCAATCTTTGCTGTGCTTGGCACTATTATAGATCTTCCGCACTTGGGATCGTAAGTTTGACAAATGACGGTTGCACCAAGGCGCATCCCTACTAGTTATATTTCTTTGAATGGGGCAGCTTGATCCATATGCCTCAAGTTTTGCCCCATTTAGTTCTTCCAGAGCAAGTGGGTGCCTGGGCCTCTTTTTTTGTCTGGATAGGGTAAAGACGACAGTCGTTGGCACTACCATATTAGTTGGCATGTTCGAATATAAGCGGAAAATAAATAGAGTAAACTAAATATTTTCGTAATGGGAATTTTTTCATCTAAAAGTTGGCGAACTATTGTACTGAATTACACATTTTCTGGTTGGTAAGACTGTTTATAAGTGTCATAACTGTCAGATAGATTGGCGCGTTTTGCGAGTCACACTAAAAGATTAGTTTTACAGTGATTGTAGTGTAACGTATCAGGTTGGGTAAGTATTTTTAATAAATTACTGGTAAATTCAATACTTGTTAAAAATTATTTATATGTTTCTGCATCATTTATTGCTTATTTTCTTTTATAAAATTATGTTATTTACTAACATAACCTTAAAATAATAGGGTGCCAACTACTATATACTATTAAACGTTACTTGTTACAGTGGTTGGCATAACCATGCCAACTACTATCCCTTTGTGAAAATTGTTAATTTTAGTCGTTGGCATACTGGAAACATGTTGTGTAATCTTTAAGCTTTATCTTTAATGGTACTTAAGTAAGGATTATTTGTAGGTAGGTATTTTAAGGCAGGCACCTACCTAATAATGGAAGGAAGAGAAGAGAGACTTAAATTGGCTATTGAAGCTATTGAAAGTGGTGCTATGTCCAAAAAAAAAGCCGCAGTAAGGTATGGAGTAGCACGATCTACTATTCAGTTTAGAATGGGAAACAAGTTTAAAAAACCTGGTTATGGACCTTCCACTTACCTTACCAAAGAAGAAGAGGATCAACTTGTTAAGTACGTAAAATCCAACTTCATACGCTTAGGTATCTAGGTCATACCCTAATAGGTATATTT